CTGGGGCGGTGTGGGAAGGGGTCTGGAGTCGAGTAACGGGGCTGAGTGAGGAGGGTCCGGGCTCGGGTGGAGGCCTGGGAGGGTCCTGTGTGTCCTCGGGAGGGACTCCAGGGCGTATCGGAGCGAGGGGCTTGGCGTGGGACAGTCCAAAACCGCAAAGGGGTGGGCGGTTAGAAGTCACTTGGGTGCCCGGGGAGGTTTAGGACGTGAGAAAAAGAGATAACTAACTTAATGTAAAGAGAAGATTTAATTACACTTGGAAAAATTAGGCCAGTGAGAAGGGTCTTGAGCTGAAAAGATGTAGGAAACGGACATCCCCAGAGGGCAGATTTAGAGCTGAGGGAGAGTTCCAGGTGTGAAGAATGGGATTATATTAATGTGAAGGGGAGTTACACCAAAGTGAAGGAGGGTTGGATACCCTTGGAATGGGTTGAGAGGGGTCTCTGTGCAAAAAAGGGTTGTTATTTGAGAAGGATGTCTGGGTGCCCCTAGAAAGAGGGAGGTAGTCCTTTGGAAAAGTATAGGGAATTAGGTCAAGGTGAAGAGTGGAAATTGGAGGAGTTTAGGGTGTTGAGAGAGATCTGTTCTGGGGTCGTGGAGGGTGTCTGGGTATCACTGGAATGAGAATGACCTGTTACGTTAAGTTGATAAGAAGTTGGGGGTCTGGGTATCCCCAGAGTATTTAATACTGGCTGGTGAGAGAATCTGGATGTGAGGAAGGGGGATCTGGCTCTTCTCTGTCATTGTTAAAGTGGGGGTCAAGGGGAGTTCTGCATAAGAAGAAAGGTTCTGTGTATCCCTAAAGGGGACCTGGGCGTGGAAGGGTCTATGTGTGAAAGGAGGTCAAGCTATTAGATATCCCTGAATTGGGTTAGTGTGTGTGCGGGATCTTTCTGCAAATAAGGGGAATTCAATTGATATGAAGAGGGGGCCTGAGCATCCCTGGAATGAGTTATTGTGGGAGGGGGTCTTTTTGCAAAGAATAGGTAAGGTTAATAATGTGAAAGGGGGTCTGGGAACCCCTGAATGGGTTAGGGTGGTTGTAAATGAAGACAAGGGGTCTAAATCAATGTTAAGAGGGGATTTGGGTATCCCAGAGGGAAATTAGAATTGCAGATGAGGTCTCAGTGCAAAGAAAAGGTGATTGATGTGAAGAGTGTCTGGGTACCCTGGAGATATGTTAGGGTGGTGGGAAGGGTCTAGTTATGAAAAATGGGTTAGGTATTTGTGAAGATGGGTCTGGATATTTTGGATAAGGGGTCAAGGTTGGGGGAGAGGGCCTTTATTTAAAGAGGAGGGAGGACCTGGGTATCATGGGGAAGTGGTTAAGTAGGAAAACCTAGGTATGGAGATGGATTAGGCCAATGTGAGAAAAGTTGATTGGAGAAAGGGATAGTTTGATGTGAAGATCCTGGGCACCAGAGGGAGAGAGAGAGTGGATAGCAAGGGTTGTGTGTAAAGGAGAGGAGTTGCGCAATGTGAGGGTGCTTAAAGGTGTGGGGCATGGGGAAGTTTGAGTGATCTAGGTGTAAAAAGAGGTTCAGAGTCTCGGGGAGGGAGCAGAGGAAGAGCAAGACTGGAAAAAGTGGGTGGTTAAACCCTTTGTGGACTCCCCTGGGAGTGGAAATGGATAGTGAGTTGGTAGGGAGAGGAGTCAGTGGAAGGATGTCTGAGTGGAGAGGACAAGGGTTCCTGTGTGATGGGTGGGGCCTTGGGCCAGCTTTGAGACATGGGAGAATGAGGGATTGGACAGGTTACAGGGATTGGGTGGGTGGAGTTTGATTCTAGTTGATTCAGTAGATTCACCAGGAATGGACTGCTGGGAAGATTTTTGTGCTTGGTGCCCTTGTGTGTTGGGAGAGGAAAGATTGTTAGGAAGAGAGGTGGGAGTGGAAAATGGAAGCAAGAAGTTAGAAGGGGATATAGATCTAGGTGGGGGGATGGTAAAGGGAAAGAATCATTCCTGAGAAGGACTGAAGAAGCAGTGGCTTAGTTGTGATTTGCCCCCAAATCTCCCCTTTCCAGCCCAGGGCCTTGCTGCCGCCATGACTGAAGAGTCAGAGGAGACGGTCCTGTACATTGAGCATCGCTTTGTCTGCTCTGAGTGCAACCAGCTCTATGGATCCCTGGAGGAGGTGCTCATGCACCAGAATTCCCATGTGCCCCAGCAGCACTTTGAGCTGGTGGGTGTGGCTGACCCTGGAGTCACTGTGGCCACAGAGGCAGCTTCTGGCACAGGCCTCTATCAGACTGTGGTGCAGGAGAGCCAGTACCAGTGCCTGGAATGTGGGCAACTGCTGATGTCCCCTAGCCAGCTCCTGGAGCACCAGGAGTTGCACCTAAAAATGATGGCGCCTCAGGAGGTAGTGCCAACTGAATCGCCACCCAAGGTGCCCCCCCTGAGCTCCAGTACCATCCACTATGAGTGTGTTGATTGCAAGGCTCTCTTCGCCAGCCAGGAGCTCTGGCTGAACCACCGGCAGACGCACCTCCGGGCCACTCCCACCAAGCCTCCAGCCCCAGTTGTCCTAGGATCCCCCATGGGCCAGGCCCGTGTGGCCGTGGAACACTCATACCGTAAGGCAGAAGAGGGTGGGGAAGGGGCAGCTGTCCCTTCTGCTGCTGCCACCACTACTGAGGTGGTGACTGAGGTGGAACTGCTCCTCTACAAGTGCTCTGAGTGCTCCCAGCTCTTCCAGTCGCCAGCTGACTTTCTGGAGCACCAAGCCACCCACTTCCCTGTTCCTGCCCCAGAGTCTGAGGAGCCTGTCTTGCAGCAGGAGACCCTGGCCCCATCACCTGCAGAGGTGGCTGTGACTCAGCCTGATCCCCTGCCATCCTCTGACCACAGTTACGAACTGCGCAACGGTGAAGCCATTGGGCGTGATCGGCGGGGGCGCAAGGCCCGGAGGAACAACAGTGGAGAGCCAGGTGGGCCAGCCACCCAGGAGCTCTTTTGCTCAGCCTGCGATCAGCTCTTTCTTTCACCTCACCAGCTACAGCAGCACCTGCGGAGTCACCGGGAAGGTGTCTTTAAGTGCCCCCTGTGCAGTCGTGTCTTTCCCAGCCCTTCCAGTCTAGACCAGCACCTTGGAGATCACAGTAGCGAGTCTCACTTCCTGTGTGTGGACTGTGGCCTGGCCTTTGGCACAGAGGCGCTCCTTCTGGCCCACCGGCGAGCTCACACCCCAAATCCTCTGCATTCATGTCCATGTGGAAAGAACTTTGTCAACCTCACCAAGTTCCTTTATCACCGGCGTACCCATGGGGTGGGAGGTGTTCCTCTACCCACAACACCAGTCCTACCAGAGGAGCCTGTCATTGGTTTCCCTGAGCCAGCTTCAGCAGAGACTGGAGAGCCAGAGGCTCCGGAGCCCCCAGTGTCTGAGGAGAGCTCAGCAGAACCCGCTGCCCCAGGTACCTACCGCTGCCTCCTGTGCAGCCGTGAATTTGGCAAGGCGTTGCAGCTCACCCGGCACCAACGTTTTGTGCACAGGCTAGAACGGCGCCACAAGTGTGGCATTTGCGGCAAGATGTTCAAGAAGAAGTCTCATGTGCGCAACCACCTGCGCACACACACGGGCGAACGGCCCTTCCCCTGCCCAGACTGTTCTAAACCTTTCAACTCGCCTGCCAACCTGGCCCGCCACCGGCTCACGCACACAGGGGAGCGGCCCTACCGGTGTGGGGACTGTGGCAAAGCTTTCACCCAAAGCTCTACATTGAGGCAGCACCGCCTGGTGCATGCCCAACACTTCCCCTACCGCTGCCAAGAGTGCGGAGTGCGTTTTCACCGCCCCTACCGCTTGCTCATGCACCGCTACCACCACACTGGCGAGTACCCCTACAAGTGTCGCGAGTGCCCCCGCTCCTTCCTGCTGCGCCGGCTGCTGGAGGTGCACCAGCTTGTGGCCCATGCTGGGCGCCAGCCCCACCGCTGCTCATCCTGTGGGGCTGCCTTCCCTTCCTCACTGCGGCTCCGTGAGCATCGCTGTGCAGCTGCTGCTGCCCAGGGCCCACGGCGCTTTGAGTGTGGCACCTGTGGCAAGAAAGTGGGCTCAGCTGCTCGGCTACAAGCACATGAGGCGGCCCACGCAGCTGCTGGGCCTGGAGAGGTCCTGGCTAAGGAGCCCCCAGCCCCCAGGGCCCCACGGGCAACTCGCACACCAGTTGCTCCCCCAACGACCCTTGCAGGCACTGCTGCTGCAGCCCCTGCGGCCCCTGCCCGACGCCGGGGCTTAGAGTGCAGCGAATGCAAAAAGCTGTTTAGCACAGAGACATCACTGCAGGTGCACCGGCGCATACACACAGGTGAGCGGCCATACCCATGTCCAGACTGTGGCAAGGCCTTCCGTCAGAGTACCCATCTGAAGGACCACCGGCGCCTGCACACAGGTGAGCGGCCCTTTGCCTGTGAAGTGTGTGGCAAGGCCTTTGCCATCTCCATGCGCCTGGCAGAACATCGCCGCATTCACACGGGTGAAAGGCCCTATTCCTGCCCCGACTGTGGCAAGAGCTACCGTTCCTTCTCCAACCTATGGAAACACCGCAAGACCCACCAGCAGCAGCATCAGGCAGCTGTGCGGCAGCAGCTAGCAGAGGCAGAGGCTGCTGTTGGCCTGGCAGTGATGGAGACTGCAGTGGAGGCACTGCCTTTGGTGGAAGCCATTGAGATCTACCCTCTGGCTGAGGCTGAGGGAGTCCAGATCAGTGGCTGACCCTGCCAGCTTCCCTCTTCAGAAGCACCATGCCCTGTTGCTGAAGAACCCCCTCCAACATCCCCTTAAATTTCTGTACAGTGCCCCTTCACCCTTCCCAACTGCTATGTAAATTCTGTAACTGGATTTATTCTCTTATGAGGAGTGTTCTGGGGTCCCTAATATGCATAAAAGTGCCCCTCACCCTTCCACTTGTTAGCACTGGTGGCCCCAAAGTGAAATAGTCAATAAAAACTGATTTGGACATTTATGTGCTTTTGGCTGTGCGGGGTGGAATTTGGGAACCATGAGCCCAGATACTTTTCATGGCTGTGTTCCCAGCATCTAGAATGGCCTGGCTAGTAGTAGGAGCTCAGTAAATATTTGCTAAATTGAAGAGGACCTGAATTCCAAGGTTATGGTATGGCATCTGGGGAGTAGGGACTTCACTCTGGTTCTAGATGGAGGCAGCATGGTGCTCTTGCCACTAGAGGTCCCCACAGTTTCGTAGAAAAGCCTGAAGCTGTTTTTACTGATGGTAGGAATATTTGGGGAAATCAGATTCTCACCACTGCTGTTTCCCACTTCCTGGCCTGATGTGAGTTGGCTTCCCCGGGGCCATCTATTTTCTCACTGGATCCCTATGGGCATATGCAAGTCTGGAAAAGGCATGATATTCCCGGCAGTAGGGGAGGGTGGCTCCTAGGACCAGACCCAGCTGTGGACTTGAAGATTCTAAGGGTTGGCTGGGGGAGGAAGCTTCAGAAGAGGTGACTTGATACCCACCTGAAGTTGGAGTCTGACTCAGCTAATAGGTGTTTGTTGGAAGAGGGATGGGTGATGTGGCTGACTGATGTTTGAAATCTAGTTTGTCTCAAGTACTACCCTACGTTTTTTGGAATAATTTTTTTTTAATCCTCACACAAGGATATGTTTTTACTGATTTCAGAGAGAGAGAAACATCGGTTGCCTCCCGTATGCGCCCCACCAGGGATCAAATCCACAACCTTTTGGTGTACGGGATGATGCTCCAACCGGCTGAGCTACACCGGCCAGGGCTGTTTGGAATAATTTTCAGACTGATCCTGTGAGGAAAACATTATGCAGGGAAGGAATCCTTGGGCAAGGGAGGTGACTTGCCCAAGATCATTTAACCCAGATAAATGATCAAGGGCAGAACGAATTTAAGTTTAATTTCATTTGGTTAAATCACCATATGCTTTATACTCTGCTGCCTTTTACATACTTGGGGGGTGGGGGTGGGCAAAGGATATGGTGAGTGTGTGGCCAGTGGGAATGCTCAGTCACAATGCCGTGTTGTTTTTAAGAGGCACATCCCAAGGAAAACAAGTGCCTCCCTGCCCCCCCCCCCCCCCCCCCCCCCCCCAGGAAAGATTACTCCAGTGTTTTTATTAGAATTCTTATTTGGAACACTAAAAAACGAGAAATAAGAGGGAAGCTATTTGTACTGAAACCAGGGAAAAGGGAGGCCCAAGAGCTGCCCACTCAGTCTCTGATGACCACTTGGGCTTCCACATTACTCTGGACTCCCTTCAGCAGTCCTATTCCCCTCTAGGCACTGGGGGTTTAAGACGGACTGGGTTAGCCTGTGGCTCTGGTGAGAAAATGAGGGCTCAGAGATGGAAGAGACCAAGGCCACACAAGTGGTGGGGCCAGGCTAGAAACCAGGTCTAACACCATTAATAGGTTTTGCTACATTATGCTTATTGTAATCATTTTAAAAAAGAAAAATCACTCACCCATTTGGTATCTTGACAGCTCCTAATGAAGAGCAAGTGATCTGTGAAGCAGTTTTCACAGAGTGTTAATCCTAGGCACCTCTTTCAGTAACTTTATACCCTGCAGAAAGGATTCCAGCCAAGTCAGCCCAGCATTCCCCCCTGCCTTAATCACCAGGTAAAGATTTGTCCTTAAACTGCCTCTTCTCACCAAAACCTGTAACATCCTATCCTGACAGTCATATCAAATCAGTACTGAGAACAATCAGGATTTGTGCTTGCAAAACCAGCTAAACATCAGGCTGAAAAACTCAAAGGAGTGGTTGACCCTAAGATAAAGATGTTTTCAGCAGAGAAAGGAGGCTCTGTGACAGTGGGTGACCACCCTGCCTCTATCGTGGTTCCTTTTTAGGAAATTTTGGACTCCCACCCTGAGAAAAAGTTACGTGTGCAAACAGATTTATGAACAAGACTCATCATTTACCATCACCCTGCTGAAATTTCCACAGTTCTCAACCACTGTCAGAAAAGGTGGCACTAATCAAACCCTTGTTGGATGCTGGGGATTGAGTTGGACAGCCAAAGGTTCCCAAACTTTGTGTGTTAGGCAGTTCCCCCAGAGCTTTGGATCCAGCAAGCATGTATGTGTGTGACCTTGGAATCCACGTTCTGAACACAACAGTTCTGATGCAGGTGACTTGCAGACCCCTCTAATAGCTTTGTATTGCCAATTTATAATTGGATATGGAAGCTACATAAGCAGAACCGTTAAGGGGACAGAATAGTTGTCCTCTAGTGCGCTATGTGTTCTCGACAAGAGGAGGCCCAAGTATGACTGTACAGGAGAGGGCATGTGGAGTGATTAAGCACATTCACAGGGCTACAGGTAGTTGCTAGTTCAGCTCCAGAGTGCTCTCAGGTGTGGTGTCTGCTTGTCACAGGATTGATGACCTGAGTGACAAGGAACTTTTGGGTCTGTATGGTTCTGACCATACCACCTTGCAGGCATCCTCAGAGTATTCTGAATCTTCATTCCAACATCCCATTCCCCTATCCCTACTGACTTGTCTCTCAATCTTGCCAAAACAATGCAGTGCTGATACTTTTTAAATCTATCTGAGTGATCAAAACCCTCCCACTCTTCCTTTCTCCTCTTTCCCATCCCTCACTATTTGCAGAATCCCAACACCTGAGTGCATACACCAGAGGATGAAACAGTGACAAGGAGACCTGATGGCAGTCCCCATCCCTCACTATTGAATTTGCAGAATCCCAACACCTGAGTGCATACATCAGAGGATGAAACAGTGACAAGGAGACCTGATGGCAGTGAGAAAACCCAGTTGTGATACTGTTCCTGGTTTTCAGTGGTGAAGTCTTAGTGATCAGTCCCTGGCCTACCCTGAAAGCTGTTGTTACTTTCAAATGATTTAGTATGGGCACAAAAATTTGAGTGTACGTTGTGCTGAAAAAAAAAAAGGGTATGTACTTTGTTTCACCAACTTCAAGTCAACTCATTTTTTGTTTTAAATGTATATTTTTAATATTTTTACTGATTTCAGAGAGGACGAGAGGGAGATAGAAACATCAATGATGAGAGAGAATCATTGATTGGCTGCTCCATGTGTGATTGAGCATGCAACCCGGGCATGTGCCCTCACTGGGAATTGAACCTCGACTTCCTGAGGTTAACGCTCAACCACTGAGCCACACCAGCTGGGCCAACTCAGGTGTTTTTTTTTATTGTTTTTTGTTAATCCTCACCTGAGGATATTTTTCCATTGATTTTTTAGAGAGAGTGGAAGGGAGAGGAAGAGAGAGAAACATCGATGTGAGAGAGACACATCGATTGGTTGCCTCCTGCACGCACCCTGACCAGGGTCGGGGAACCTGCAGCCAAGGTACATGCCCTTGACTGGAATCAAACCTGGGACCCTTCAGTCGGCAGGCCGACGCTCTATCCACTCAGCCAAACCAGCTAGGGCCCAACTCAGTTTTTAAAGGATTTTGTTAGTCCTCTGGGGATGGAAGTGGGGAAATACTGGTTTCCTGTTTTTTTTTGTGGTTCTCATTTATTAAAGACAATGTGCTTGAAATCTGCATCATTTAATTCTTACCAACCCCAGAATAGGTATTGTCCCTGTTACAGATGAGGACATTGAAGGTTACATATCAAAGATCACATATCTATAAAATGGCAGAACTGAGATTTGAATTCAGGAATTTGAATTCATCCTAAGTTTCAAACCTTTGTTTTCTGATTGGCAAAAAAAACACAAAAAAACCCACTTTTTTTTAAAATTCTCACCCGAGGATATGCTTTTCATTGATATTTAGAGGAAGGGAGAGAGAGAGAAAAAAAAAATTGATGTCATCATCGACAGGTTGCCTCCAGTAAGGGCCCTGACTGGGGATTGAACCCACAACCTGGGTATGTGCTCTGACCTTGACTGGGAATTTAACCCACCACCTTTCCACCTTTTGCAGGACAGCGATCCAACCAACAGCCACACCAGACCTTCCTTCTGAGTGAGTGTTTACCTAACAGAAGTAAAGCCTGCCCCTCCCCAGCGCACACATACCCACCCCATACCCTGATTTCTCCCACCAACCTTCCCAGGACAGAGAGGAGACCAAGGGAGAGCCGGCAGCATTTCTCTCTGTACAGTTTTTAATTTTTTATTTTTTGATGTTGTTCAGATGAATGACACACTCAAGTTACAAAAATGGGGCCTTAAAAGAAGCACATTGTACAATGAACAAGCAGATTGAAGAACACTGAAACGCTAACCCGCTACCACGAGAAGAGACAGGAAGGGGGTGCAGGATGGGAAGGGAAGGGCTACCAACACAGGGGTCAGACAGAACTGAAAGGGGGGGCTAACTTGGTGAGAATAGAGAAGGTCTCCAGGGCCTAGTCAATTTCCAGAAGCCACTTCTTGGTTTCCTATGCCCACTCGTTGCCACCTCCTCCCATCCCCATTCCACCCAGTCATTCAAATGTGTAGGTGAAAGACACCCACCCAGCAAGGGCTGAGCCAACCAGATCTTTACATGGTGGGGGATCACCTTGCCCTAGTGCAGCCTTGGGTTTGGGAGGTAGTGGTGGCAGCAGTGGGATAAGAAGCCTGGAAGGAGCCAGCAGAGAGGAGTTGATCAAAGATCAGGCCCCTACTTTCCCCCAAAGACTCCTTGCCCCTTCCCTACCCACCATGATCCAAAGGCCTTCTCTACAGTTGTTGAGAGAGGCCCCCAGTCACCCTGCAATTATATAAATAAATAAATACTGAGCCCCTGGGCTTGGAGGACAGGATGGGGGAGGGGCAGCAGGGACAGAGGAAAGAGGAGGGGAGAGGAAGGGGGAGGCAGAGAGGAGGGGTCACAGACATAGTAAATAGTTGTCTCCGTCCCAGCAACACTTCTGTCTGGATTTTTCTCTCCTTTTTGTGTTTAACAAGGAGCTAACATCTCAAGGACAAATACTTAAAAATATACATTATTTTTTCTTTTTCTTTTTTTGTTTCGCCTTT